CGGTGGGGGGGGGGGGGGGGGGGGGGCGGGCGGGGCCTCCTTAACTGCCGAGGCGAAATCTTCTTCTTTTCAGCACATTAGACATGACTCAAGTCAATTACACGTTCTCTACACCGAACCATCATTTAGACATGAGAAAGATTTTATCGAGATCGTGAAAATGTGAAAAATGTACTTGTGAAATTTGTTGTTGTTTTAACTCGATTCTCTTCAGGAGCTATAACAATGTGGAAAACAATCATTAACACCTGAGAATTTCCTTATATCGTCAGATTCATTAACTCTCAATTTATTAGCTGAGTCAAGATAGTTAAACGCCATTTAAATTCATCATGATTTTCTCTACAAAAGCCTAAAATTTACAAATAGTAGACATATCGTATAGAATTGCGTTCTGACATTTTCGAACTCGTGCAATTAGTTTGTAGAGATGAGATTGATTCCGTTCCAAAAGAACATGAAACAGTTTCATCTCTGCCAATCTGCTCGAATAGCAATCTAGTTCTTTTTTCTGTTACTCATTTAAGTATGAAGATATTTTTTAGAAATAAAAAAAAAATTTCAAGTATATAACACATTTTGATATTGGGATTAAAAAAATTCGAAACATCGGTTTTTTTTTCTATATTATCCGGAAAATTTTTCGAAACAATCCAGATTGTCCTGTGCAATAAGACATATTGTATTTTTCGGAATTTTGGAAGTGTTCTGTAGGATTCTATTTTAAAGTTATTTTTTTGTTTTACTTTTATATTCTAGAGAATATGTTGAATTACCATCGACTGATGCAGTAACTGATCTTTCATCATCAATAACAACAACAATAGTAATTAATACAGAAACAGTTTCATTGGTGAATACTACTGACGATGGAAGATCTGAAATAGAGTCTTCAGCTGACATGAAATCAGTTGGAAGAGATTTTGCTCCAATGTTTATAATTTTAACTATTCTATTTATTCTTATACTTCTTGGTCTTATAAGTACAATATACAATCAACGTGATTTATTATTTCGTCGTTCTCATCGACGTAATACAGACTCTATTTATTCTCAATTAACTTCTGCAAATGAATTTGATTTAAATTGAAAATAAATATTGAAAAAAAAAAATAATTCAATAGAGTTTTGTATGATCTAATATATTTACAAATGAGAATATACTTCAATACTATTGAACCTCATCAAATGACAAAAATAGAATAGATGAGAGAAAAAAAGAAAAGAAAGAAAAACATCTTTGCATACTCAACTTATTAAAAATACTATTGTTTACATTCAATATTGAGGGTGCTTGAAATGAAAGAGAATTTGAACTATGCATAACAATGTTTATATGAAATGATTTTTTATTGGCTAAAATGAAGTTTTCGTAGAATAAAAAGAACTTCTTTCTTTCAATATATATATATATTCGTTTTTTTTCTTTTTTTGTTGATTTCTAATTTTACTTGAAGATTAAATTCAATACTTATTCTTTTTTTCTTTACTTCTCTTGTCTATTTATATAATACCAATAAAAATAAAAACATATAACTAAGAATAAAAAAAAAAACGAAATAGAGAATAAAGAGAAAGAGACTTTTGTTTCTCTTGTCCGTTTTATTATGGCGCGAATGTTAATATTCCATTCTCAGCAATACAAATTACTTTAACAGTCATATGTATCTATTATAGAACATTGAATTTATTTTATTTAACAAACTTCATAACGAATAGACAATAACAATCATACCAAAAGATTAATTATACTATCGAGTAAACAATATTAAGAAGTATTTTAATTCAAAAATGATAAGAACAAAATAATACAATAGATAAGTATTCAAACTGAAAAGTGAGATCATGCTTTGTTTTTGTTATAATTCTTTAATGGAAAGGTATCAAAATATTAAAGAAGATTCATTTAGACTCAACTTTTCTCTTCTTTCTTACTAATTGTTTAAAGTGTTAGAAAGAGAAGCACTCGTTTTCAATTTCATTTATATTTGTTACTAAGTGGTTAATGTCATTGTCATTCTTTCTCTTATTCACATGTAGTAAAAGTTTATTCGCAATATTCTCGATAATCTCTTGAAAGATCAGTAGTTTATTCGAGTTAAATTTTCAAACACTTCGCTCTCCATTCATTCCACTGTTATCTATTGAAAAATCATTTTATATTTTCATTTTAATTAATATTTTAAATCATTACAAGCACATTAGAGTGGAAAATATATTTTTTCTACCGTAATACAATTTTTTTTTTGCATAGTTAATTAAACATCAATAAAAATATATGATATACAAGTCATCTTTTGAGCACTGTAAACAAAAAAATTCAATTTCTAGATCTTGTAAAAAACCATGAATTATATTCTTATGGTTATACGTTATCGTAAAGCAACATATATTGGTTTAAGTACTTCATTTACTCGAATTTTTGTTCAAGTTTGTTATCTACCTATTGCTAGACGAAATATTCAAAACTATTTTTAATTTTGATATGTATGTTTTCATTATTTTTGTTTTTTTTATCTTGAAAATTTTTATTTTTATTTTCAGGAATATTTAAAATTATTATTATTAATTAATTTTACGAACTGGATAATCTAAACAATGTTTGGATATTCATCGAAGAAGACGAAAGTAATGAAAGACAACAAATAAAACAATCAAGTAAGAATTATCAATCTGCATATACCTGCATATGCATATTTTTGAATATTAAATTTTTGCAATACAACTGAACAGACTTAATTGCCTTTTCATTGTATGAATTTTTTTTCAATAGAAAATTTCTTTCTCATATGTAAATTAGTGTAGACTACTTCCTATACTGATTAAAACCAGACGTGAAGGACAAATATTTTGCATACATATATATAATTCAGGGTTAACTTCTTTTTTTTCTATAGTTCAATGTTAATGTATAATTATTGACTCGATTAAGTAATCGAGAAATAATAATAAAAAAGAAAAAAGATACTTTTATTTGTATCTATTTCCATATTGTTACATACACAAATTAACATAAACTATGGCATCTAATTTGAAAAGATAAGTTTTTCTTTGAATTTATATTCAAATTAATATTTTAAGAATTGAGATAAGATAAGATGAAAGTCAATATCATTTATTTTCTATTTTACATAGCTAACAACAATCAACTTTTATTTCATCAAATAATTTCTTTTATGTTCATACAATATGAATTAGTCTCACATGTATATGTGTATTTGATATCTACGACAATAAAAAAAGAATGAGCTTTGAAGGTATGTTACTAAAGCTATACTAGACGATCAATGACTGATTTGATCAAATCGAAGCAAGCAAAAGACAGACATAAGGACATATAGACAATATATAAGGATTAGATCGGTTGAATATAAAATCGAGAAAAGACATGAATAGTTTGAACAGTTAGATACAAGAGTTTGATGAATACATGTAAAGTATCTTGTCTTTTATCTTAACTTGATGAACGATAACAATGACATTTTGACTATAATTATCTATGTTGTAAAAATAAAACTATCATAGAATTTTTTCTCTCTCCCTCTCGCTCTAATGACATTGAGACATATTTTATTTCGATTAGTATCATAAAAAAAAAATCTCTATATGAACTTGTCTCAACGATTAGTATATTGTATATCTCTGTGTGACTTTATATTCGTGACGATTTATTAGTATAAAGCAATTGTATTATTTAAGTGTGAAACTTTGTCCTTGTTCTCAGGATTCTTTTTCCTCAATCAAGGCTGCACTTTCATGTACTTATATACATAAAGGTGTAAGAATGATATTATCTTTGATCAATGTGTTCAATCAGTATTCGATGTGGTATGAAGGCTTAATCACGCATTTGTTCACACCTTGTCCTTTCCGATTTTAATAGCTTTTTTTTCTTCATAAGAAAAAAATAGCATGCCAACGTATAATCGAGTTTTGGTCGACTAAAACAACAGCAAAGAATAATATCTTACATGTTTCATTTCTTTTTTGTTTATTCAGTATCAAATAGTTGAAAATGTGACCACATGAAATGAACACATATGAATTATCTTAATAGCTTTTACATAATTTATTTACTTAGAACAAAATGCCATATGGTCATTAACGAATAGAACAATCATACTAATATATAGATATATTAGCTGTATCCTTGTATCCTTATGGATTTATCTTGTAGCTATCATTTTGTTGAACTAAGACAAGGACAATAAGAAAAATGCTTTAGCGAACATTGTTGTTAATTATTAGAAATAGAAACATAACGCATAATCCGTAATCTGTAGATTTTGTCGTAATAATAGCAAAGAATATTTGAGAATGGAAATAATTGAAGCGTATGTTTTTATTGTGCAAATAGATGAGAAAATCGAGGGTCCATCTGCTGTTTCTCATCATCATCATCATCACCATATATATATGTATATGGGCTATGGGCTATGCTTTATTGACATATCGATCATACTGTATATGTGTAGTGTATCCCGTTCAATAAATGTATACGTAATATCCTCTTCCTTTTTCTCCTTCAACTCTATGTCATTCTTTTTTTTTTATCCTTATCTCTTATATCGAATAACGCTCTGTTGCTTCTCCGTTTTTTTTTCTCCGTTGTTTCATCCATTGTTCTCTCTTATATGTATAAGTATGTAATCGAATAGTGAAAGCGACAAGCTCATCATCATATATTAATCTATAGTAAACGTTACACTATGTCTCTATTTCGATATTTGGAATTGATACCAGATGAAATCTATATAACAGGTAAATGAATAAATATGTGTTAGATCAGAAGAATATGAATAGTAACCAGTTGCTATTATGAATAATGTATAAAGGATGACATTTTTCATAGAGTAAAAAGTTTTAAATGAAACGAACTGTTTTCATTCTGACTTTACTGGAGTAGACTGTTCTTTTCAAGTGGCACGCATATAAAAAAGAAACATACACATAAACAACATTATTGATAAGTGAAATCATATGGATATACTTATTCTGTTTGTTTCGTTTTTCGTGCGTGCTTTCTCTTGCCCTAGGAGTGTCGCACATGTACATCAGACTGAGATTCTCTTTTACTCATGCGTACATCTTTTATGTGTATGTATACGCAATTTTACAAAAAAATTATTTCTTTTTTAAATCTTCCTGTCTTGTTCTTTTTTACTTGATTACATTATATACAACGACTTAGTATGCAAAAAAATAAAAAAAATAAAATAAAAACTTTCGATATAGAACAAGAAAAGAAAAAAAAATTGAATATAATCACTAGAAGTTGATGACTTCTTAAGTGTATGATGGACGAAAAAAAGAAATTTTGGATTATTTCTATTTGACAATATGCTATCAGCATCGATAAAAAAACAAAATATATAAATGAGAGAGAACAAAAAAAAAAAAGTTTCTTTTTTTTCGTTATTGTTTGTACATTGTCAGACATGCATTTTCAATAATAATGAATCGTATCGATCAAACAGCAGAAGAAGAAGAAGAAGAGGATCATGCTGATATAGCAACAATGATAGGTAAGGGCAACGCATAAAAGGAAAAAAGAATTTACACTTGTCTAATATTGACTCATATTGTCTCGTTGTCATATTACAAATCTTGAGCAAAATTTTCTTTTTTTCTTCTTTCTTGATTCGTAATAGGAGAGCTTTTCGTTAGATTCTTCTACATATGTATATAATTGAACATATGGTACAGAAGACCTTTACTTTTAGTTGATCAATTTTGTTCTGTTCGACCACCTCGAGAGTATCGTAATCACAACAGTAGTAACAACAACATTTGTTCAAGCAAACAAACTAGTGACGAGACTGATCCTACTAAATATCAAACAACGAATCGATCGACTTCTTTACCGGCACGACAGACGTTTTCTTCAATTAAAAACAATGAAGAAAATATAAAACAACGTCGACGATATGCAAGCAGTTCTAATAACAATAAGAAAAATCTAACCACTTCGTTAGTTACTTCATTTCTTCAGTATTTACGTAGTGAACTAAGAGCAACAACGAATGAAAATAATAATGATTATCAAAGAATTCAAAAAAAGGTAAAAAAAAAAATACTTTTCTTATCGGCACTTTTCTTACCTTATTAATCGTTTTAAAAAACATTCTTTTATCGATATATGCACTTTACTTGGTTTATAGAAAAGAAAGAGAAAATAAAATATTTATATATTTAAAGATCCTTTCACGAGTTTTTTTCAATCAAGAAAAATTACCAATAATTTATTTCTCGTTCTTTTCTTTATTTCTTCTTCATTCTTAACTACCTCCGGTTTCAACTTGTAGAAAAAAAAAAGAAAAATTCACCTTACTCTTTTTCTGTCAAACGGATACAATACAAATTGATCGTGCTTATGCGATTTGGATCTCTAAAAAGGAATACACTTTTATGGTTGTTTCTTCATTTCTTTTTTACATCAACATCCATCTCATATGCTGATTCTATCATTCATTCTTTTTGTGGAACCAATAATTAAAAAGTTTCTTTTCTTTTCTTTCTCATGTGTACATATATTCATATAGAAATCATCTGAAAGTAACAACTGTTTATCTCAAGCACTTTATTTATCAAATCATTTTTCTCGTCAACAATATACAATTCAAATGTCATCATCATCGTCGTCATCAACTGCTTCTTCTCAATCATTAGATATTAGTTCAAGAAAATTATCAAATGAAAATTTATTAAAAAATACATTTGATAATAATCCTACTAATGATGATAATGAAATTTTAACATTAATTAATTTACTTATTTTACGTGTTGAATGTTTAACTAATGATAATACATTAGTTACGAAGAAAAAGAATGAAAAAATGTCTCCACAAATTAAAGAAATTGATCAAAATTTAATTGAATATCTTTATTATCTTTTTAATAAATTTATCAATGAAGATTCAGATTCAAATACACCTATAATAAATAAAGCAAACTTTGTTAATGTTTGCCAAACAGTAGTACGTAATGGTGGTTTAAATATACCATCATCAACATCACCTAATCAATCATTTTCGGAATCAACCATTACAAATGATAGTGATCAAACATTAATACAAACATCTGTACGTGAGTTTAGAATAGATACAAATGATATAACATCAAAAAATTCATCGATCAATGAACAAATTTCATCTGTACCTATAAACGATGACGAAACTTGGCTTGTTGTTGATTTAGAAGAAAATAAGTCAGAATATTCAACAACAAATTTTGATGAATCAAGAGTAAGGCGTTTTTTGTTTTTCTTTTTTGTTCTTCTCGCAAGAAGATGAAGAAAAAAAACGGCTAAAGAGAACAATTAAATGAGATAAGTCTGACAGACAGGTGCAATTTTTTTTTCTTTAAAATTCAATCTGACAAATAATAAAATCATTTCTCATAGAACTAATTTCGTTCCTGTATTTATCATATTCATTCGATCGACGTTTTTTCAATATGAAAGGGCGTTTCAATTATTTTCGGCATTTTGTATTTAAAAGAAAGAAGGTGACAGTCTAAGGTCGTCTGATATGAGCGATGAAAATTTATAAGCGTATATGCATAGATTTCTTTGCGATCAAAAAAAAAAAAAAACTTTGAGCAAACATTTGCGTATATTTGTCAATATTACCTCTTAAACGAGTCATATTACCCATGCAAATATAAGACAACGAGATAATCATCTCTTTAATGATATATCATAAATCTTCGTTTCGAAAAAAAAAGAAAAAGACCGTTTTTTTTCTCTCTCTTCAAACAGAATAATATATTTTACACATGAAGAAACAATTCGCTATTTTTAATACAACAAAGTAAAGCTGATAACAGTAAATATCAATATTCTGTTTCATTGATAAATTGTTCATTGCACGAAACCTTTAAGTAAAAACAAGTAATCTTATCTTTTTAGTTATAATTTTGACCTTTATAAATCAATTAATTTAATTCTCGCATTTGTCCTATGACAGTTAAAGTGTAAGAATAATAAAGAAATGCATAAAATTTTTTTTTTCTTGCATAGTTATTCACGCCTACTCGAACATGAGCAAGTTGCGTCATAGAGACAATTACCACCAAGAGCGTTACTTTTTTTCTCTTTTTCTCGGATATGCAAGAGCTAATAGTGCACACGAGACACGGTATATATAAAAGATAGGTAAAATATTATTTTTGTCTTGTTCTGTTCAAGTGTTTATTATCATCATCAACCTGCGATGACCAATTGTTACCAACGAATGAAAACTACTTTTCCGTTGAAGAGATAAAATCTTGTGCATCCGAATCATCGCAAAGTAATTATTATTCACCTGACTCATCATTAGATGATTTAGACAACATGCCTCATGAAATTGATGAAATTAATAATCATAATCATAATCATAATAATACATTATTTAATGAAGGTAAACATGTTTTTCTTTTTTTTTTCTTTTTCTCTGCCGCATTTTATGCTTTTATGTATAATAACTGCACATCTTTCTGATCGAAATACATAAGAGGCAAAGAAAAAAAATATAGTTTATATGCTTTCTTTGAATAAGAGGTAGAAATAAAAGAGAAAGAAGAAGAGAAAAAAAAAAGAGGAGAAGCACATTTGTGGTTTGATCATGTTAAGACTATTTCAAAAGACGGTCAAACAAATTCGTGGGTGATCAAAAAAAAAAATAAAACAACTATTTTCTTTTATTCTTCTTATTCTATATTAAATAGAAGGATCATCTTCATCATCTTCGTCATCATCAAATGAACATGTTTCAAATAATACTAATGTCATTATAGAAGCAATAGATACTACAAGCAATAACAACATTTGTATAGGATTAACTAATGATTGTAGTACTAATAGTAGTAATAGCAATAGTAATGAACAAGTAGCATCATCAACAATGGACACAACTGAACAGATGACAACGAATTTAAATGATAAAATGTCTCGACGTGAACGAAAAATGCAAGAACGTTGGACAATAACAACCAAAAATAATAAAAATACTAATGAACAATTACCAGCAAAAACATTTTTAGGTGTGGAATTTCCTCCAATAGCTGTACTTAGACGAAAATTTTCATCGTCACCACCGTCAAAACTGAATCCATTACCAGTAAAAAAGAAAGATTACTCAACTGTCAAAACAAAAGTATTGTCAACTCACGATGAAATAAATAATCATCCATTACACGATAATATTGATAAAACAAATGAACATATTTCATCAACACCATTAAATCGCTCAATGTCATTACAAAATCAGGTTAGTCAATTATATTTAATAGTAAATTGAAAATACTTTCCAATGTTAATCGATAGACATTTAAGCAAATGTCCTCAATAGTTGCTTCCTAATATGAACACAAAAAAAAAGAGAAACACAATTATTCTAACCTTGCTATTCGAGTGACATCACTGAGTGAAATCCTATTTATGCATCTATCAACACTTCTCAGTTCAATTTTTATAACTTATAAAAAATATCTAATTCAGAAAAAAAAAATATTATCATCATGAATAGATAGACTACAACTCTTATTTTTGGTGTAGTAAGTTATATACTTTAACTCTTAGATAAATTAAAGCAACTACCCTTAAGCGTTGTGTTTAATTGATAAGAGTTCGCTTCTGACTTGTTTAGAACTTCGTATAATGATAAGACTGAATACAAAGAAAAACAAAAAAAAATAGATTTTTTTTCTTTTTGATATTGAAAGAAAAGAGTATTTTTTTAATATAATATTATTAAAGGTTTAATATTTCTACATGATCAAGATTTAACTTATTTTGACAAGTAAAACATTTTGTTAAGCCGACAAGAAAACAAATGTATTAATCGTATTTGTTCTAGTTGATAAATTTGATTTGTCATATGTCTACTTGTCAATGATCATTTATTATTTGAGTCATAAATTTTTAACAATTTTAGTTAATTTTAAATTTTGTTCGTTCATTTGAAGCCAAATAATCTTGTCATCAACTTGACCGATTCTTCACTCGAGTAATACCGCTTGCCCTATGATTGTTTGTCTAACGACATACACATACAGAGAGAAAGTAATTCTTTTCTCTTGGCTACTACTAAAAGTCATTGTTAAAATGAACCATTTTTTTGATTCCTTTCTCTAATGTGATGATGGACGTAATACGAAAAAAAAAAAACTAAAAGATCAATTATGTATTTAAATGTATATTCAAGTATATATTTTCATATTTTCAGGAGACTAACACATCAATAACGACAAACCTAGTGGACCAAACGAAACATGATCATCAAGTGCCTGATTTACAATCGAATGGTAAACTGATTTGTAATTATTTGTAAAATAACAAGAATATAACCGAAAGAAACAAACTTTTCCCTTCATCACTATCAATTATAATTCCATTACAAACGAAAAAGGTTTCTATTTGTGTGAGAAGAAAGGAGGTGAACAAATTCTTTTTTTTTTAATTTTGCTCTTTTCATGTACTCTTGTCTCGAAAATGAGATGTCATCAATCGACTAGTTGGTCGCTTCATTGATCACTATCGATCTCATTTATGACATATGACCAAGGATTGATCATATACTTTTCTATATATATATATATCTACACTTTTTTTTTCTCATATATTGACATCATTACTTCATTTAGATACTTCGTCACTACTAATTTGCAATGATAGTAAAACTAATGATGATATACAACAATCACCAGCAATTATATCAAATTTATTAACGGACGAAAAAATTCCTATTGAAAATATGAAAATAAAAACGAAACCAGATTTAATAGAATATGAAAAAGAAATTAGTACAAATATTAATCATGATTTCGATCAACATGAACAAGCAATCATAAATAATAACAACAATTCAATTACGATAACTGATTCAATTCATACAAATTCACCTTCAACATCTTCGTCTGTATTATTAATGTCTTCTTCTTCTTCTTCTTCTTCTTCGTTAACAACAAATATAAATGAAGAAAAAATTATTGAACTTTTACCACAAGAAATAGAAGAAGAAAAAAAAGAAGAAGAATATTTTGACGACGACGACGACAATGTTCATGCAGAGAAAAAGAACAACTTCAATGTCGAACACAACTACTACCATACATCGGGAACAATATTAATAAACGATGAACCAACACAAGCAGTCTTGTTAGAACAAGAAAAAAAAGAAAAAAACGAAGAAGAAAAAGAAACAGAACAGCCACTACCAACATTAGAGCAATGCAACCATCAACATTTTCAAGATGAATCTTCAGCTAGAATTTTATCCAATAATTTAGACACAAATGTAATCATGTCAAACATTGATGATAATAATAATAATATTAATGAAGAATTATATAAAACAGTTGAAATTGAAGAAATACCCGATGAAGATGATGATCTATTAGAACAAAATAATCATTCAATTGAACCAACAGATTTTATTCTTACTGATGAAGAAATTAAAATACCACGACAATCATCTATAAAATCAAATAAATCAATTAAAAATGATTTAGAATTTCAATTGAATCCTGTTTTATCATGTTATGAAAAAGCATTTTCAAAAATTGTTGAAAATATTGATGATTCAATAAAACCTTTGAATATAACATCAAACGAATCACAAATACCATTACCAACAACAAGTCCTCAACGTCCTGAAGATGATCCTATTGCTTTACGTGCATTAAAACGTTTTGAACAACGTATGAATGCTGCTATGGCTACTAAAATTGGTAACGATGAAACAAGTTCATTAATAGCCAAAGGTAAATCATCATGGTCAGGTACACTATCCAATCAACGAAAATCACTTGAAAATGTTTTTAAAAATGATCAAACAGTACCATTAACTTCTACTTCACCTAATGAACAATCAACAATAACACCAACATCATCAGTATCTCCACGTGATACATTTATTCGACCACGTAAAACACTAATTGATGATATTGGAGTTAATTTTGGTTTGACACGAAATTTATCTAGTACTATTCAAAATAATTCAACAAATAAAGATAATCATAAAACAGAAGAACAACAAACGCCAATAGCTATGATAGAAAATAACGAAAAGCAAGGTGAGTATACACCTAACAGCTGCTTACAAAACGTTTTGAAGGTGTCAGATGAGTATCCATTTACATTTTTGGAATTAACATGAGTTAATAACATGAAGAATTGTATACCTTGTCGTTACAACCATTCTTGTCATTCTCTCTCACTCTCTCTCTCTCTCTCTCAGAGTATTGATTGAAGACCTACACTGCCATATTTTATGTATGACATAAGCAAAAGAAAAATTGAAAAGAAAACGAACACACAAGGATACAAAGCATTGAAAAGAGAAAGAAACTGACTCTATTGTACAGCTCAAAAAAAAAATATTCATATTCAGTACGAAAGTCTGTAAATCATTTTTTAAGATATTCATTAAAGTTTGGTCCCTTTCTTTTTACATTCATCGATTGATCAATAGCTACCTAAATTGAATAGATTGAAAAGACATTTGTTTAATGATTTGAAGAAAAAAAAGAAAGTAAGCGAGTACAAGCGCGTGTATATTGAGCTTAAAGCAACAGTAAAAGAGTTCATATTTGCTTTGTGCGGCGTTAGTCTTTTATCATAACCTCCATGGCAGCAACCGAATGTCTCTCATTCGTTTTTTTACGAATAGAAACGAAACAGAGTAATATGAGACCCTTGGCTACCATCAGTACTGCTAAAGATGAAAATAATAAATATAACTCGAATGAAATCAATGATTTCATTTTTTTTTCATTTAGTATAATTGTTGTGTGATCGACTTATAAAAAAAAAAATGTATAGCTGTAAGGCTTCTTATTCAGTCTTCTTATATGATTAACATTATTGTTTAGTTTATAAGAGGTTTTTTTTTTCTTATATGTTGTAATTTTATTTCAGCTGTTCCAAACGAATCAACAAAGATTATTGATTCTGAAGGTCATCAAGAACAAGAACAACAAATGATAATTAATTCATTAATAACAAATGAAAATGGTTCTGGTCATGAAGCAGAAAATTCAAATTTATTAGCTACTTCATCACCCAATAGTTCATTAAATACAGTGATTTCACACTCATCATCTGAACAACAAACATCACTTACACCATATCGTCTTCAACTTGAAGGTCGTCGCCGTTTAAATACACTTGAACGTATTCGTGATCGTCATGATAATCATGAATCAAATGATTCAACTCAACAATTTCAAAATAAATATACAGTTAAACCTGAAGAATTACAAGATCCAATTATTCGTCGTGCACTTGAACGTTTCGATGAAAAAAGTCGTTCGTTAGCACAAACAAAACCAATAAATTATGACGATATTCAAGATCCTATTACACGACGTGCATTAATGAGACTTGAAACAAATTTAAAACGTACTATACCACCAAATCCTGCAACAACATTAACATCAACAAATAATGATTCAAATGAAACATGGTATACAAATAGTTATACACTTGGCTCATTACAAACAAATAATGACAATCGTTTACCACGTTATCCTGATTCATCTTTATCATCAACATCATTTAATAAAACACCACATGTTTCCGTACATCAACGTTTTTGTTCAACATCATCATCTGATATGTCCGAATTATCTACAAATAATATGATTTCAAATAATGAACATGACATACCAATCATGCGTGTACCAACACAACCAATTTATGTCACTTCAAATAATCATCAACAACAACAACAACAACAACCAATTAGTGCACGTCAACGATCACATTCTGAAGATATGCTTTCATCAAGAGATGTATCCATGAATGAAATAACAAATCTTGATAATAATAATAATACAAATCAATTACAACGAAATTATTCATCCAATGAACTTCAACTTCAACATCAACAAGAACAGCAACAACAAGAAATATCACCATCAAATGCAATTACTTCAAATACAACTGATTTGCCATTACCGACTACAATACTTAAATCTCTTGATCCAAATTTTGTTCGTACAACAGAAGCATCTATTAATTATGTAACACCTACACAAACATATTCCGCATATAGTTGTGAATATACACGTCCACATCAAAATTCATTATTAACATCACCTAAATTAGAATTATCATCTCCTAGAAATTATCAACAACCAAATGAAAATGATATTCAATATTCAAATCCACCATCATCAGCATTCACACCTGTTCATCCTTCAACAAATAATTATTATCCTCAACAATCATTACCTATTTCATCGTATGCATCAATGTATACAGGGAATAATCTTAATCAAACACCTTATTCGGATGATCCAATGTAAGTTTAAATAGAATAAACTTAAGAACAACAAAAATTTTCTTTCTTCATTATAGCGTTCGTCGAGCACTTGAACGTTTTAATTCTCAAATGCAAAATAGTCTTATGAATATGCCACAATATAACGCAAATATGAATGGTACGCCTCGTCCAATATCTAATGGATATGCTGCACGTCAAGGAAACTTTGATTCATTCTACCCCACTGATCCTCCTCAATTTGATCCATGGGCAAATCTTAGTCATGCTATGCCACCAGCATCTAATACAAGTAGCGGTTATCAATCAATAATTGGACGTCGTCGACAACTACGTCATGATGATAATTATCATGATAATACAAGTGTTGGTAATGCTTATTCATCATTATTATTTGTTAATTCTCAAAATCCATATCCTATAACAAATAATCCTTACATGAATTTTCCTGATGAACCACCTGCAATTCCGCCACGCTTACATCGTGATGTTTATCGTGAACAACAAGAATATATATCCGAAAATGTTAATAATAACAATAATAATAATAATAATGCATATATTCATCAGGGATATCCAGCAATGCCAAATGGATTTCGACCAATAAGTCATGCATATATGCCATCAGATTCCTTTCATCAATTTCAAGATGATGAATATCTACGTCATCGTGCGCAATCAACATCAAGTACAACATCATCAGATAGTGTTCATCCAATACGTTTAACTAAACAACGTTTACCTCCAACATTTACAAGAACAAATGTACAACAAAATAAAAAACTTTTATCTGATGATCATTCAGAATTACCATCAGGTAAACAAACTCAAAAAAGAAAAAACAAAAACTAATTTCTTTTCATTTCCTTAGGTCAAACAACACCAAATAATGGCAGTGTAGCAGGTGATTCTGTATTTCATCGTCTTGCATATACAGCGACAAAATCTTCATTATCAAAATCAAGTTCAAATTTATGTGCAAATCTATTAAATAAAACTCCACAACATCAACAACATCAACAAAATAAATCAAATAATTTAAAACCATATGAAATTGATTATGATGATTCAAACAATATTCCAAATAAACAAGAATCAATATCAACATCAACAAATCTTACAAATAAATGTCAACGTTCAAGATCTGTTGATGGCCGTGCGCGTGTAAAAAATGCTCAAACTCGTGCTATTAATAATAATAATAATAATAATAATAATAATCATCATCATCATCATCCCAATCGTTCAATAAATGATTCTGATGATAATAATTCTACAACAGTTCCATCATCAAAATTTACATCAATGAATAATCGTCGTGATACTGCACCACCACCACGTATTCCTACAACACCACGATCAACAATAGCTGATCGAACACCATTAACTAAACGTGTATCAAGTGGAAATAATTTATCATATACAAAAAATCATCATGGAAATCGAACACGAAATTCAAATGGAAATTTAATTGATACAGATAATGATGAAAATTTAACATTTAATGATAATTATCAACCAAAAATAATTGATAATAAAACACGTACATCAATGTCTGTTAATCGTTATGCAACAAATAATAATAATAATATACAATCATCAGCATCAACATCATCTGTTAATAGTACAATGTCTCGTACCAAAGTTCCAGTACCGATATTAACAAGTCTTGATAAAAAAGATTCAAATGCATCTGGTACTGATCTTAACAGGTTAGAATTAATTAGACTAATTTTTTTTTTTGTATCTATTAGTAAAAGTTCTATTGCAAAAGCTTCTCTTAATCAACCTAAAATATCATGATAGACGTTCTTCAATCAATAAAAAAAAGTAGCTGTTAGCTCAATCCCTATGAGATTAAAATATGAAACATGATGTAGCTGTTGTTGCTAATCACAAGAGGATTATTTTATTATATCTAATCTGGAGTATATTTCTTCACTATCCTTTTACTAAATCCTCCAGAGATGCAGTAAGAAAGTAGCTCACATATTATAACGAGATATTATTAATCTATGTTCTTTAATCGTATATCAACAATGTCTGTGACGAAGGAACATTGATAAGGTGTCTGTCATGGTCTCTGTTAGACATCTGTCACGGTTTCTGCTTAACATTTGTCATGGTCTATCAGTGGGAAGGCAGGCGCAAACTTTTTACCCCTACTTCAACACTCCTATATGATGCCTTGGTAACTGAAAAAATGTTTCTTAATTGATCAATTCTTTGTCGTATGAGTTAGATTTACTTTAGGATAGTACTTAGTCAACTTCGCGCATTATGATTAATGTCCTGCAGGAACGATTTTTTCCCGTTCTGTTTCCCGTCGAAATCGAGAACGAGAACAATATTAAAAAGAAACATTCACGAAAATATATTTTTTATGTAAATATTCTCCAGACTTTGCTCTTTCAAACAAGTAATGTTGAATTCAATCAATTCAATGCTATATTGTTGAGAAATAGATTGGGACATTCTTTGAAACACTCGTGATTCACTTAAAAAAATAACAAATATCTATCAAAACAAAAAAATAGACAAGTTCATTGATTATTCATTAAATTGTAACTCAATTATCAAAAGTATTTTTTTTCTTTGTGATCATCATCCTTGAAAGGATCATTATTCAAATTATCTCGTTATATAGCATTATTATTTTCCGTTTCTCTTGAATGTTTCTGTTATTTATCGATGTTGTTGATGTGCTAGTCTTTTCAACTGATGAAGGAAATAATTCTCTTAACGTAACATTGATAAACTTCAATATATAAATAATAATTGATTTCTTTTACTAAGATGTACTTCGAATGATAATTTTAATTTTAATTTAAGACCATCTCACATTACGAACATGACAACTTTGACATAAGTTAATGTCTGATACGATAGTTTTTCTCCAACACAAAAAATGTATTCTAAAAAACCATCTAATTTGTCATGCAAATAAGTTTTCTCCATTGGTAAAAAGTCAAAACCATTAACTACTACTCAGCCGTCCAACTGCAATCGTCAAAAGCAAAACAGTTATTAAGATTATGTTCTTGAATAGTAGTTCTGTCGAAAGTGGAAATAGTCAGTAACACAAGGCGTAAAATTCTGCATTTCGCAATGTATCGCAATTTTATAAAGAAAAACAAATTTTGAAGAAGAATTTTTCCAGAAGAAAAAATTAAAAAACAGCATCAGAAACTTTTTTCTACCGGACCTATGTCATTTTTCATTCTTATTCAGAACAATCTAAATATATGGTAAATGTCCGAAGGAAATAATAGTACACCGCAGTTAAGCATCTATCAGTACATTGTTCGATATAATGTACGGAATACCGATTGTACTGTGAACAAACCTGGAACATGAATAATATTGTTCATATCGATAGACCTTATTAATTATTTGTACAGAATACTATGCTAGTTAAATTCGAAATGTATTTCTTGATTTCATATTCTTTTGATTTTTGAATATTTTTATTTGTTTTTCATTTATTCAATATTAGATCGTCGAAACGTTCAGATGAGAATCGTCTTATTTCTCCAACGGGTCAACGACGAAACATTCCTGTGTCAGTTTTTTCACCAGCTAAACATGATAATAAACGTTCTGTTCCTGTTTCATCATCATCTACTAGTCCAACAGATGATTCTACTTCAATAAATAATTGTGATTCTCAAAATGAACAACAAGAACAACTACAGCAAACTTCATATTCATCTCGTTCATCAACAGGTGATGGTAGTTATACTGCAATAAACAATACAAATGATATGACTAATAAACTTTCAACAACAAACTCAGCACTTAAAACATCGACAGGAAATATTTTAGACGAACTTTCATTGACAAATGATAAACATGATAATACTAAAAAAATGAACGTTTTTGAACGACTTTTTCGTGGTCATAAAAAGAAAGTTTAATTTTAGTGTAGATATTAAAGATAATAGAATATATATATATATATATAATTATTATTATTATTATTATTATCATTATCATTATTCGTTCTCCTTTCATTAGAAAGTAAAGCAAAATCTATCTGCGCATTAAGATGTCCGTCCGTGAGAATGACTGATAATTTTCGAATATGCGCATGAAAATTATTCTACCGGTTGTAAAATAATTTACTTCATACAAAAGATCATTGAAAGGAGAAACGTTTTTTTCTTGTAGTTTGTTTGTTTTTTTTTCTAACAAACTTTTGTCTTATGTTTATTTATCCTTCTTAACCTGACTTTTTCTTTCTAATTGATGATCAGTTTCTTTTTTTTCTCATGTTCGTTTTTTTTTTCTCATTCTTTTGTGTTATTTTTGTATGTTAAAAGCAAAAGATATTTGTCTTTTGCTTGAGATTTAGATTAATAAATCAGTCGGATGAAATGGATAGTGATTATCATATGTGAAATTTTACTATAGACAAAAGAAAAAATTCTTTAGTAATTATTAAGTAAATTTCATTGAGATAAGTTCTTGAAAAAATAAAGAAGATTTTTATTTACTGGTTATCAATATTGATGATTTTATTAATTCGTTATTAGTAAAGATTGTTAATAAGATACTTTTCTCGTTTGTATGATACTCATTGTATTACTGAAATAGATCGATCAATGAAAAATAACAAATACTAAGAATACCCTCGTCTCTTGGACTACTTCTGGTTCTTCATAAGAGTACAACCGATTGTACAAAATAACACCGAGATCGTAAGTAGATCTGATGGTTTTTGAAGACTAATTCGAAACTCTCTGAAAACTTATTTTGCAAAATTTTTTTCTTGAGCACAGATCTCATCATTTTCGATAATCTAGCTGTAGTAAAAAATTTGAGTCGGATCATTTGTACTGTGACGGAGAACAAAAAATGATTCTAAAGACGAACCTACCCTTAGGTGTTCTCTGTTTGATACGACTATTTATAAATTCCATTAATGAAAAATAAATAACATTAGAGGTTGTATTTCTAAATTATGAAGTATTGACAATAATTGAAAATTTCAAAATGTATTCTATCAATGGGGAAACTTCCGACAGTAGTAACAAATTGAATTAATACGCAAATACCATATTACGTTTTATTGCTCGAAAGTACACATACTGTTATCAGCCTTTGTGACATGAATAAATTATACGACATGTATCATTTGCTTGAGAATTAAACGACTGACTATCAAAAGTGTCATAAATCATTTTGTTTGATTCATAGGAATAGAAAAAAGTCACTGATCTACTGTTTCAATGATTAATGCTTGATAGATTAGAAAAAAAGAATTAAATTTATTATTGATTATTTAGATCTTTAACCTTCCGAATCCCCTGCTCACTAGAGTGATCATTTGCAAAAAACAAAAAAAACAGAATTAAAAAAATTGAGTTGCTCCAGCTTCATAAAAGATGAGTCACAGAATCGGTAAGTTTGAAAAAACCGCAATACTTTAATTTCTTGAATAAAGTGTTTTTCTACCGTCAAACAAGGCATACAATGGAAATGTATTATGTGATACATATATAATAAAAAAGGCAATGTCTACTACTCGTAAGTAAATAATTCTCTACAAAATGAGATATTCGTGAGCTCTCGACAACGTTTTTTCATCGAACCATATCAAATTTACGGAAAGGTTCAGATAGAACTCTTGCCAAGTCGTTCTTCGTTCCAATGGTCACTAAAGTGACCGAACGAAAGTGTACATGATCAATTTGTTCATATTATCGATATATTCAAGACACTAAAATTCTATTCCAATGACTTTTTCTTCAATCATTCTTCTAGAATTGCTCTGAAAGGCGAAAGAGTTAACTTCATGTTGAATCAAAATTTCAATCTGGTTATAAGCAGTAGCACATCAAAACAACAACATATGTCTTATTTATCTATTGAATTGCAAAATAAACAAACTTCAAATGTGACCTTATTCTTTTTGTTTATAAAATAATTTTATATGTAAGTAGATCAATTTCAAAAATTCAATCAATTGATCATGAATAATTTATTTCGTATTATATTGATTAAATTCAATTCTTCTTTTTATTGTATACATTCAATAGTAATAAATACAAAAGATACTTTTGTTCGTAATAAAATTGTTTACAATTCGAAGCCATCAAATTTTTATTAAGACATACAGATGAAACACAAAGAATAGAATTAATTCAATTGTAATGTCAATAAGTAACATACCATGCATAAGTAATAGTATACAAAAAGTCTATTCCTATTTCTTTTCAATTGAAAGAAAATTTCTCTTACGAAAACATAGAACTTTTTCGAATTATATGTAATTTTTTTCTTAAACTCGTTTATATAAATGCAACTATGTAACTGAACAAATACCACATATTTCATGAGATTCAAAAAAAAAAAAAACTATACAAAATGCTGATCCCTATTGTTTTTCGATAAACACGTATTGAAATAGGAAGTTTCCCCCTGCTTTCGAATAGTGTATCATTAATATATGTTACATATTCGTGAATGAAATAAGATGAGAAAAAAATGGGAAACAGTCGTGCAATAAATTTGCAATTTTTATGCAAATTCGTCAAAAAAACATCTTGTAGACGATAGTTAATTCAATTTTTATGAATTCATTAAAATGATTGTGTAAAACGATGATTTTTTTGTTTTTTGACTTTCATCAACTCATTAAAAACATCTTCTATAATGACAGTTAATTCTAATTAACAATTGTTTACAAGATATTTTTGAAGATTTTACAAAAAAAATTACAAATTTATTATACAAGTATTTCTCTAGGTGTGTTTACTCATCTTATTTATCAATATATAACAAATATATAAATCATACACTATTCTAAAGAGAAAAACGACATATCGATTTTTTCAAATAAAAAATTGTAATGTTGAACAAAACAAATTAAATAGACAATAATTTTAATACACATAGTCTGTTGTATACTTTTAATTAAATGTTCTTAAAAAAAACACAGACAAAAAGAAGACCGATTTATATAATATAAAAACTTCTATAATATAAGTATGTTCTACTACTTATAATTATGTTGCATTGATCTTATTTCATGAATCCTATGTTTATTTCGAATTCCTGCAGACATACGAGTCTAGCTGACTCTATTGTGATGGGGTTTTTCTTTTGCTTTCCTTTAAGGATCTCATTTCTGGTGGTAAATATTTCTGACTATATTTCGTCTATTAAAAAATTTCTTCACGTAGATAAAAACAAATTTTTCTTTCAACCAATGTAAAATCGTGTAGTCGTCATGTGAACTATAACTTCGGTATTTTTATAATTAAATATCACAGATGTTCGGAATTACAGGTTTTTCATCTTCAATCTCTTTTATCAGAAAATTAATTATTTTTTTTTGTTATAGAATCATATATTCTATCATATAGGAAAATGATATTTTCTTTCAATCGTCGTCTACAAATAAAGTGTAAATTTTTTTTCATAAATTATTTATTATATAAGATACAATAATTCTTCCTCTATGTGCAAAATCTTCTTATTTCATTTCTTATCAAAATTTTCAACGATCATAAACTATTTTAAATATTTTCTAAAACACAACAATAATGCAATAAAAAGAATCGTTGATCATGATATACGTTTCATATATATTTCTATTCTGCAATATTTTCGACTTTTTTTTTGCAATTACAAACTGCCCTATTTTTTTACTATTATGAATAATCATCAAGTGTCGCCCGCATATTTTTTTTTTTGTTGAATTACTTACTGTCAAGCAAGAACGATTTTATATGATGATTATAAATATTAATGACAGTTTCAGGTATATCTATATAGATAAATATAAATTTTAGTATGATGCATCACATACCTGCAATAGTCTAGAAAACCATATTGACATTCAATAGAAATTTAAAAAAAGCAAATTAGACATATTGATGTAATTATCGATCAAAATTTAGATTTTTAATTTAAATAAGAAAAAAATTTGCTTTTTTTCTTTTTGCCATCTTATCTCTCGAAATTAAAAAAAAATATAAATCATTTGAAGTATATTATAGAAACTGCATGCTTTTCGATTTGTTTTTCTGTTAAACAGCTGTTTTCTCTCTTCTATTCTCTATATATATGACCTCGATAATGCACACTGCAATTATATGCATGACGTTAAGCAGACATTTATATTTATGTGTGTGTGTGCGTGTATGTGCATGCCTATCGAAGTAATAATAGTTGTTGTGTTAGAATAATAAAAAGAGATCGTAGTGCAATTGCTCGAGGGAAGCGTAAATAGAAGACGACGAAAGAACAGAGAAATAATGATGCATGACTCATAATGGTCGTGATGGCTTGGCATTTAGCCATCAGCTGTCCGTTTTTTTTTCCTTTTTATTCTATAGACATTTTTTTTCCATATATATGTTGTTTATATAATCGAACTTAATTATCTATTGTGTGAGAAATATTTTTTTTTTTCTATGTTGTCGTTTCTGTTTTTTTCCTTAATATGGTCGTTTCATTTAATCATTGTATTCAATGACCTAAATATGATAATGTAGATATGTCAGATTTGTCTTAGGTTTTTTTCCTTACTCTGTGAAAAGCGGTAGTAACAGACTTGTTTGACGTCGTATTCGATCATAAGGTCGCATAGCAAAGCAAGAAACATAGAGAAAGGAAAAACGCGCGCGAGAGAAAGAGAAAAAGAAAAGAAAAAAACAAGCGCGCTTTTGCTTCGTGCCCGGCAGCTTGCGCGCGCGCGTATGCGAGTAGAAAAAAAAATGCGTATAAGAGCATGCAACTGATGGTGGGAGGGAGTATGTGTATAAGTGTAGGGACGAAGCGGGCAACGTAGAAGGGTAAAAAAAAGAAGGACATGAAATAGACCAAAAGTGCGCTTTATGTTCGCACGCCACCATCATCATCATCATCACAACCAACCACACACGTGTGTTGTTTGAGGCAGAGTTTT